CTTATGGGTTCTTGAGAGCCTCCCCAGCACCCTGCCTCTTCCTTTTCCCATGATGCCCTCATCTATCAGGGTATCTCCCTCCCTGCCCTCCCATTCTGTCCCTGTTCCAGCTCGACCCTCCCATTTCCCTATGTTCTCATCCCCCACTCCTCGCCCTCTGCCACCACCACCCCCACACCCCAGTCCGCTCATGTAGATCTCATCCCCTTCTCCTTCGCTGGGTCATCCATGTGTCCCTCCTAGGGTCTTTCCCTGTTAGCTAGCCTCTCTGGAGCTGTAGGTTACAGTCTGGCCATCCCTTCCTTCACATCTGGTATCCACTTATGAGTGAGTACATACTATGTTTGTCCTTCTGAGTCTGGGTTACCTCACTCAGGATAATATTTTCTAGTTCCATCCATTTGACTGCAAATTTCTTGATATCATTGTTACCACAAGTATTTTTATTTAGTTACTTGCCTGACAATTAAACAAAAATACTTGTGTGTATGCACATGTACATGTGCATGCCCTCCTGGCCAAGAAATACCACACTGTTGCTCGAGTTTTCCTGCCTGGCCCACAGTCAGGACAAATCTCTCTCACCTGCCAGTCCCACAGCCGCTCAGACCCAACCAAGTAAACACAGAGACTTATATTGCTTACAAACTGTATGGCTGTGGCAGGCTTCTTGCTAACTGTTCTTATAGCTTAAATTAATCCATTTCCATAAATCTATACCTTGCCACGTGGCTCGTGGCTTACCAGCATCTTCACATGCTGTTTGTCATCGTGGCGGCTGGCAGTGTCTCTCTGACTCAGCCTTCCACTTGCCAGCTTTATTCTCCTCCTTGTCCCGCCTATACTTCCTGCCTAGCCACTGGCCAATCAGTGATTTATTTACTGACCAATCAGCAACACACTTGACAAACAGACCATCCCACAGCACCACACAGAAGCTTTTTTTTTTTTTTTTTTTGGTTTTTCAAGACAGGGTTTCTCTGTGTAGCTTTGCGCCTGTCCTGGAACTCACTTGGTAGCCCAGGCTGGCCTCGAACTCACAGAGATCCGCCTGGCTCTGCCTCCCGAGTGCTGGGATTAAAGGCATGCGCCACCACCGCCCGGCTTTTTTTTCTTTTTCATTTCTTCATAGGTATAAGTCAATATTGTGTTTAGCTTGATTACCTGAAAGTAAATCAGAGATTCTTGAGAAATGTTATAAAGGAAATGAACTTTCTGACAATTTTGGTGTTTAGTCTAATTCCAAAGCAATTGAATTTCCGTTCTCAAGTCAATAAAGGTGAAGTGGAGACTAATAATCCAAAAACTAATAATAATAATAATGTAGTTCTTAGGAACAGATGTTCCTATTTTTAAACTACATCTGCTCTGTGAGCTGTGCCCCATTCATTAATACCACCTTTTATTGTGTGTGTTTATTCAGTGACGATCTCCTTAAAAAAATATCTATGAATCCATTGTCTGATCCAGTTTGTTTGTTTGTTTGTTCCTTGTCCTATCTCCAAGTTTCTTATCAGAGGAAAACTCTACTGTCCTAGATTTTTATCACCATTCCCCCTTTGTTTCATCACATATTTTAAAATCTTTCTTTTCTTTTTTCTTTTTTTTTTTGTCTTTTCGAGACAGGGTTTCTCTGTGTAATAGCACTGGTTGTCCTGGAACTAGCTCTGTAGAGCAGGCTGGTCTGGAACTCACAGAGATCTACCTGCTTCTGCCTCCTGAGTGCTGAGGTCATGCGCCACCACCGCCCAGCTGATTTTTTGACATTGTTGTCTTTGTACCTAGAGACATTAATTTGTTTTGAGTACCTAAAAATGCTGATTTCATTCTTTCTCCTTTTCCGATTGGTCTGGGCCCTTACAGCAAATTCTTAGTCTTCTGAATCTTCTCCCCATTCTGCTGATTTTCTTTCTTTGTGCCCTTGTACCAGTTGTCAGACTGTGGGGACCTTTTGTCCTACCTTGATAGGAAGAAACCCGTGTTTTGACAGCAGTGAAGTAGCCACAGGCAGGCCAGTGCAGTAGCATTTGGCGCCCTCTAGTGTTTCAGCTCCTGTGCAGACCTCTGGTAAGATCCTTAGCCCTACAAATTGCTTCTGTAGGCCTAGGAAGTTAGAATGCCTTAGCCCTTGGCAGAAGCTGAGTTCTGGGTATGTCAAGATAGGGAGATTCCTTAGCCCTTGACAGCTGTCATTTTTACAGCTCCAGACCCTGCCTCCTGAGTGCTGGGATTAAATGTGCCACCACCTCCTGCCTCCCTCTTTCTCTCTTTCTTCTCTTCTCTCCCCTCCCCTCCCCTCCCCTCCCCTCCTCTCTCTTTTAAAAATTACTAAGTTAAGCATAACTGTGCATGTAGCATTTTCCTGATCTTGTGGAGAGCCAAAAACAAACAAGCAAAAACAAAACAAAACAAAAAAACTTGTTTGCTTGGCCTTCATAATTTGCTTCTCACAAACAGAAGCCAGTTTTGTCCATGAAGTTTATTAGGAACATTTTTAGGAGCCATACTTGTTCTTACATAATTCTCACTTGTGCTTTTCCACTTTTGTGTATGTGTGTATGAGACAAAAATTTATTGAAAATTGGTCAGTGGGTATATATGGTCCATGGTGCTAGCCATATGGAGCTGTCACAGAAACGTAAAACAGAAGAGATGGTGAAGAAAATGTTACAAATTGTCATCATCTGATTCATCTTCTTCTTTCAAAGATTCCTCAGCCTGTTTCTCTGCTTCCTCCCTTATATCTTTTAGAACAATTTCATGTCTTCCTTTAGTTCATTTCTCCAACCCAGCTGAGCTTTAGTTCAAAAGCTTTATCCTTAAAATATTTTGCAGTTTTTAACTACTCCACAGCAAGTCATTTCTTTCATCTGAAGCTTTTCTGTTTATTTCTTTGCAGCTTTCTGGCTTTAATGGTATAGCCCCAATAAATATATGAAATTACCAGTGGGTCAATACATATAGAGCTGTGCATCATCTTTTACACTGTAAGATCCTAACTTGAAACTGCAGCCAAAAAGTCTTAACAGCACCTTAGAGTCTGTAAGTGTGTACATGGCCACTCTGCAAGATATTTTAAGAGGAGTGTTATAGCCAAAGTTGGATGCTTGTCTTCTTGCTCTGTCTGCTAATGAATGAACTACTGCCAACAGATCTGTGACTGTCATTCTAACATGTCAATCAACAAGAAGTCATTTATTGGAGCCTTCTTCATAAAGTTTAGAAAGGACTAATTTTTTTTACCTCAAACATAACACTGGGGCTGGAGAGATGGCTCAGAGGTTAAGAGCACTGACTGTTCTTCCAGAGGTCCTGAGTCCAATTCCCAGCAACCACATGGTGGCTCACAACCATCTATGATGAGATCTGGTGCCCTCTTCTGGCCTGCAGGCAGAATACTGTGTATATAATAAATCTTAAAAAAACAAAACATAACACTGCCTTTACATTTGATCCCAACAACTGTACTGTTTTCCACAACCTTTGTAGCATATTCATCTTGAAAAACTCTTCCATCAGGAGAGAATTTTACTCTAGATTTTTACTAAAGATTTTACTCTATAGTCCAGGCCAGCCTGGAACTTAACTGTGTAGCTCAAGCTGGCCTAAATATTCCTCCTACCTTGGGCTTCAAAAATACTTAAAATTACTTAAGCATACACATGACATTACTTAAGCCAGGCTCCTTTTCTTTCTGGTTTAATTTTGTTTTGTTTTCGAGACAGCCTCTCAGTGTGTAGCCTTGTCTAGCTGGGAGTTTGATCCATAGACCAGGCTGGCCTCAACTAACAGATCTGCCTGCCTTTGCTTCTGTGTTAAATGTAAAGGTGTGAGCCACCCAGCCTCTAGTTCCCTTTCTAAGCAACACTACTTAATTGCGTGTGTGTGCACGCGCGCGCAAAAGAGCACATTTAAAATAATAAAATTAATAGTTGTTAGTATATTTACAGAATATCATCACCTTAATCTAATTATAGAACATTTTTAGCATCCTGAAAAAAAGCCTCTGACATTCCACACAGTCCCCTATAGTATTGTTATTTTTTTGAGACAGGGTTTCTCTGAGTAGCTTTTGAACCTGTTCTGGAACTCACTCTGTAGATAGACCAGTCTGGCCTCGAACTCACAGAGATCCGCCTGCCTCTGTCTCCCAAGTGCTGGAATTAAAGGCGTGCGCCACCACCGCCCACCTCCCTATAGTGTTTTTACTTCTGTAAAAGAAGTCTTAACGGGTCTAGTGGTAAAGTGCTTGCCCAGCGTGACTGAGGGCCCTGGGTTTGGTCTGCAATATTGGAGGGATCATTTTCTCTCAGAAACACTTTTTTGTTTGTTTTTGTTTTGCAAAACAGGGTTTCTTTGTGTAAGTATCCCTGGCTGTCCTGGAACTTGCTCCGTAGACCAGACTGGCCTCGAACTCAGAGATCCACTTGTCCCTGCCTTCTTAGAATTGGGATTAAAGGTGTGCTTCACTACTGCCCAGCTCAGAAACATTCTTTGAGGGGGGTAGTTTTTGTTTTATTTTTGGAGATAGCATCTTCCTATATAGCCCAGGCTAGTCTAGAACTAACTTTGAGTCAGGTTGGCCTCAAACCTGTGGTCCTGCCTTGACTGCTTGTATTAGGATTGTAGGCGGATTTCACCTTCCTTTTGCATTTAAATTGATGTGTTTGTGTCTGTAAACCTTTGTGAGTTTTTGGATTATGATTTTAGTTTTAGCTAATTTGAAAAATATATTTCTTATTTTTAAATATAAGAGACTGTCTTGAACAAAGAATAAAAGTAAAAACCAAAATCAGAGAACCAATGAAAAATTCATTCTTCAGTTTTTAATAAAATTATATACTAGAAGAACAAATACTTGCTAATAACTGTTCACAACCTTCATGATACAGTTGTTTTTTGTGAATATATAATTCTCAAAAGAGAAAAGATACTTATTTCATATACATGTAATTAGGTAATATTGACTGACCTTCCTTCAATTTTTTTCCTCCCTACAGAATCTGTCTATGATCTTCTCCCAAAGGAGTTACAGTTACCTCCACCTAGAGAAACTTCTGTAGCTTCAATGAGTCAGACAAGTGGTGGTGAGGCAGGCTCGCCTCCTCCAGCTGTAGTTGCTGCTGGTATGCATTTCATTTTACTTCATTAACAAAAACTAGGGTATTATCTGGCCAACATGAACAGTATTGGCAAAGTTCATATCAAAAAGAGTATGATTTGAGGGTTTGTTTTAGAAGAGTTTGAAGACTATACCCTTTAAATGGAAAGGTTTTCAGTGAGGGTTTTTTTTTGTTTTTTTGTTTTTAAATATATATAAAATCTTAAATTTGGCACATTTGAATGCTATCTCCTAAAATGGACCTTGTCTTCAAATATGGGAACCAGTTTAAAATGACTTTGTTGAGTGCACATACAAAGGTTAAATATCAAGCTATGGTTAGAAAATTATATTTGACCTTTTATTTAACAAATATTTTTAAAGACTTGCCCAAAGGGGAAAATGTTATATGGTCTGAAAAAGGACTCAAGTTCTGAAGTCTCTTTTCTGTTTATAAGGATATAACTATAACCTCTTTCCTATACTTAAATATACATATGGTCTGATTTATTTTAAATTTATGGAAAATAATTGCAAAATTGAATACAATCTTTTATTTAAATACATTCTCCTGTACCAGTGAAAAGCATTAAAAATGTTTGAAATTTGTCAAGTTTATTTTTACTCAGCTCTCAAATCATACACTTTGTAACTACAGTTAAATTGGTTCAGACTTCTACTTTGAATTACGATAAAAAATGAGTTAAACTAATAGGAAAAAAGTCTTGATTAGTATAAATTAGTATGAATGATTTCCATATTAGCTTGCCCAACTATAGTACTTTAAAAAGTTGGGATTCTAGGTTGCTAAATGTATTTGCTTTAGAAAAATGAATACATTGTCTTCTTTTCTGAAGTTTTACCTATCCTATAGAGATTTCTTGCCTTGTGATATGTGTCATCTTTTAAAATAGTATTTAAAGTCCATCAAAACATTCACAAGGAGAAATCAAAAGGGAAGGCTGAGTCCAAATGACAGTATTGGTACTGTGTTCTAGCAGCAAGTGTTTAATTTCATATATGCATTAACTTATATACCATTAGCCTTATGTACCAACCTTTCTCAAACCAAACAGTGCAGTATGAAGCCTTCTTGGTTGAGGGAAGGAAAACTTTAAACATGATAAGGAAATATTGGCCCTCCTCACTGTTCATGTGTGGCCAGACATTTTCTAACAGTTTCTGTGGATTTAACTGTGAATTAGTGAGCTTTTTAGTGATTAATTTGGTAAGATGATCTCTCATATCTACCAGATTCTAAAGTGGCTCTGAATATTTTTTTTTTTAAATTTGGAGCTTTAAATCTAGTTTTTAAAGATTGAATCATAAAACAAAATAGAAAATATTTTAAAGAAGTATTGTTTCACTTTAAATCCACATGTAGAAATTGACTAACTGATTTCTTTTGTGTCTTGAAATTGTTTTTATAAGGACATTTTGAATTTGCATAGAACTACAAGTCTGTTTCTTCTGTGCTTTTTAACATCTGTTTTCAGTAGATCCAGTTCCTTTTAAAAGCTGAAAAAAAGATAGCTAAGTTTAGAAAAAGAACACTTTCCTTTAAATAGCCATATGATTTAGAAATTCTTATGAATAAATATTTAAAGCCCTTGATTTGGGGTCACTAATGAAAAATTTCACCTCTTGTATAGTTGAGAAAGTCTTTCCAGGTAAATTAGATTAAAAGCTGTGAGTTGAAACATGAAGATAAAAGATTTGACCAAAGGAAATATTCTAAAGCTATCTGTATATACATATATATGTACATAAATGTATTTATATTTGTGGACCTGGGGATTAAACTCAAGGCCTCATGCATGATAGGCAGGTGCTCTACCACCAAAACATATCTCCATCCCAGTAAATTCTTATTATCTTGGAATCATTGGCATTATAAAAATGGTAAAGAGAATGAAAAGGTAACATTGAAAGTTTTCTTCTCACAGAAAGTTTCTGTGATCTAAGTCCAAGTAATTAATGATCTTTTAATTTACTTTTTTAGTAACCAATATAGTTTATTTTCTGATGTCTTATTAAAAGAAAAGACTCCTTTATTATATACTGTTACAGATAAGAGTTTCAATTACAGAGTAGTAATTGTAGGGACATCAGTATGTATTATATGTGACATCATTGGAGTCACAATTTTATTTATCAGATTGATAGCCTTGATGATACAACTATCAAAGAGAAAAACGGAGAATATATTACCAAGTTACTCAATGTCCTTTTGGCCAGAAGCTTAATAGCTAGGGAAATGCACATTAATTTAAATATCTGATGTTTTTTAAAAACAAAAATCTGTAGCATTTGCTGTTTACATGTGAAATGCATAAAAATGATGACTCTTGATATAGTTAATTCTTCAGAGTTTTGAAGGAGCTGGATTGGCTGCTATCAGGTATGAGGGCCTGGTGGGAACAGACTTCTAGTTCTGCCATAAAGGTTTGTGTTTCACAAATTTTAAATCAGCTTAAATTTTAAAAAATTTTAGAGACCGGGAATATGTGTGTTCATGACATTCTTTATTAATTATTAAAAATGTGTTTCTCAGATTCACCAATGTAGATTTATTTTTCTTTCTCCTCACATATTGCTGAGGGTTTAAATAAATGTGATGCTGCTGATCCAGAATCCAGAATCCTGGGTAAAAGGATGTTTCTCAGCCCCTTTTAAATTGTTAGGATTTGGTCTTTGTACTATTACTCCTTTACATACTCTCATCAGTAGTATCTTTTCGCTTTGTGAGACCCAGGGTTAGGATGCGGGAAGATGAGGACAGGAGGCACAGTTCCTCTCCTATATGAAGACAAGGTCAGAACCTTTCATTAGTTTGAAATTTGTTCACCTGCTTGTTTTTAAGAATTCTCTTGGGAAAGTAGTTAAGAATTTGAAGTTCTATATGTCAATAAAAGATAGATTCAGAAATGAAAACTTGAGACAGTGTTGCAAATTTTATAAAAAAGTAGTTATGACAGAGGCTATTTTCTTTTTTTACAAAAAAGTCAGTGAATTAATAGTATTAGCAAAATGAGTTGACCAAGAGAAATAAAAGTTATAGTAACCGAATATTATTTTTAATTATACATTTAGAGTTTTTAATCCTGAGATTTGTTTATAATAATAAATCTTTCATGGGAATCAATATTAACCTTTATTATCTCAATTTAAGAAACCAGGTAGTAGCTGGAGAGATGGCCCAGTGGTTAAGAGCACTGACTGCTCTTCTAAAGGGCCCGGGTTCAATTCCCAGCACCCACATGGCAGTTCACAACTGTCTATAACTTCAGTTCCAGGGGATTTGACATCTTCATACAGACATATATGCAGGCAAAATCCCAATGCACAATCAATCAATCAATCAATCAAAATAAACAAAATGAAAGAAAAAAGAAACCAGGTAGTATACCTATAATACCAGCATTTGAGAAATGGGGGGAAATCAGTAGTTCAGGGGGAAAAAAAAAGGCAAATTAATTTGTCTATTTTCATTTGGGGGATATTTGATGGGCATTATATTTCTTAGATAATATTTAGAACAGATTGTCTTCAAACTCTGGGGTTCCCCTTGCCTTTACCTCTAGGGTGCTGGGATTATAGGTATGTGCTACTACGTCCAGTGTGCAATTCGTTGTTTAGCTCAAGAATTTGAGTTAAAAATCTTTCTAGAGTCCATACCTGCCTGCAAGGATGGCTGCCAAATTTGAGGCCATCCTGAGCTACTTAGGATGATTGTCTCAAAACCAAAACAAAACAGCAACAAAGAGATACCAAGAATTGATAAAACTATAGGTTTTATAATTCAGTGAAAGAAATTAATAATTAGTGTATAATTCATTAGTTTCATTGTTAGTATTTATTTTGAATCTCCAATTCCTTATATAGACAAGCCTAGCCTGGAAATCCAGATCCTCTTCCACCTGCCTCTATCTTCCAGATTCTGGGGTTGCTAGTTTGCCTTTTTTAGAAGCAGTATAACCTCAGTACACTAATCCACAAGGCAGCTTTTTTTTATTTTATTTTTATTTTTTGCTGAATGCCGTTTATTGAAGGAGGGAAGAGGTCTTAAATACAGGCTTACAGCACAGTGGGAGAACCCCAGAGGGCTACCCATGTTTTACAATCTTGCATCTAAACTGTTAAGGCCCATTATGCAGGATACACAGACAAGGAACTTCCCTTAAGCATTCAGGAGGGTGGAACCTGGCGGGGAATTAGCATAGGGAGGATATCAAGGTCAAGGTCAGCAAGCAAGGCAACAGTTACCCAAAACAGGGGCCAGGGCCCTACAGGTCCCCCTTTTACTAGAAAATGAACTTCTGACTTAGGTTGTGTGAAACATCAGCAGGGGTCACCTTAGCCGTCATAGAGACGCCTGCCCTGTCCACACAGGCACTCTGTCTTAGGTTGGTGAGCGCCCCCTGGTATTACCCGTCTCTGAATACTCATTATCATATAGGCTCAATCGTGTGTGAGCTGCAGAATTAACTGTTGCCAAAGATCTCAAAGTGGTGCTGGGCTTGCAATCTGTGTGTTCGACACAGAAAAGACCAACAGAAGTCCTAAACCCCCCATAGCCAGTAGGCTAAAGGCAACTGAGCCATTCCCTTCCTTAACGAGCCTTATTGCAAATTGGAGTCCTTGTAAGATCGTATCCCAAAAGCAAATGGATCTTGAGTTTATAAATTTAAGTTTTCAAAGCCAATCGAAATGTATATAACTATTGAATTAAATTTATCATGCCCAATAGAATTAAAAATTAATAACTGTGGTAGCTACTTTTGCTGCCAGGGTCTCCAATGTGCTAGCTGTAGTAACCAATTATGAGATGGTAATCCCAGAAACAGTAGCAGTGGTGGCCACCACTGCTATAACAGCAACAACGGCAGCAGTGATGTCAGATTCTCTTCTGGAGTGTGTGGGCATCCACTGGCATGGATACAACTCCAAGAACACGAACTGCACAAGGCAGCTTTTTAAAACATGTATAGGTAGCTACAGTCATAAAGCTTGTACAATAGAATC